TCTCTCTCTCTCTCTCCCTGCAGACGCATAAATCTCCGGCTTCTTCGCATAGTGTTGATAGTCGCGGATACTTAATTTACAGATTTTCTCAGTATTCACTATTACATTTAATAGAAGAGACCTCATACTTGCACGCGACGTTCGATCTTCCCCCCTAGAGAAAGGGAAAGAATCCACCTTCTCGCGAGGTCGAGGAGAGAAGAGCTCCTCCTCCGACAGACGACAGAATTGCTCGGTTAATGACGGAGTATCACTCTCAGCTCGACTCGACGCGTTACACGTTATTCCTCTTCCCTCAGAGCGCCTTCTCTCTTATATCGAGATACACCTGTAACCGCGTGAGCGACTCGCATCCAATCGATCGCGCGAGACTGTGATTGACCCTCGGGGGCAAAACCGGACTACTCGCGCGCGAAAACTTTCTTCGGTCGGTTTCTTCGGTCTACGGAGAATAGCCGCGGCGATTCGTTTGGACAACCGACCGACCGACCGACCGACAGATCGAAACACGTGGCCGCGTCACGTTTCGTTTCCTGTAACTGTAAACCGCCACAATGCAATCCATGTGACTAGTCAATATCCACCGAGAGGCGTTGTTCTCGCGTTCGATAATAGCGTGAGAGGAATGTCGAAGGACGCGGAAGACGCACAAACGAGAGTCGTTGGTCCACTGCTATCCTTTCACCGCTTTAGAAAGGATGCGCGTTGCAAAGAGCGATCGGACGGCCATCCATAATTACTCGCCATTTCGACCATTAAAAGAAAACGATCGAAAGGAAGAAAAATTTGCGCTCGACATTTGCGCAAGAAATACGAGAATGAAATGTCAATGATCAACTGTCTGTCTGTTCGAAAATTGGCGTTGAAAATGCATCCGATTTGTATTGCAGGGCTGAGCCTAGACAGTAACATGTCGATGTCGTCGGTGGGCCCGCAGAGTCCCCTCGATATGAAGCCCGACACGGCACTCATCAATCCGGGAAACTTTAGTCCATCGGGTCCTAATAGTCCGGGGTGAGTGTTTCTTTCCTTTGTTAGCAAAATTGGATTTTTATCTTTGTCTCGCTCACCTTATTATACTATAAATCGAGACTCGACTCGAGTAATGTCATCAGGCCACAGTCGATTTATTGTTTTCTCCTTGTAAGATCCTTCAGTGCCGGTTGTCACAGCAACCTCCTGAGTACGTCGCCCAGTGGTCAGAGCAAGACGGTCACGCCTTATCCACCTAATCACCCTCTGTCGGGCAGTAAACACCTGTGTTCGATTTGCGGCGACCGCGCGAGCGGCAAACATTACGGCGTTTACAGGTGAGTTGATAGTTAGTTGTATGTAATTATATAATTATGTATTAGCTATAAGCAACGCGGCCAAGATACTTTGAGCCACACGACGTATATATGTATTTGCATGTGGTGCGTGCGGTGCGCCAATGTGTCAACTTGTTTTAGATATTTTTTCGCGAACGTAAAAGAAATTACGTAAAATATTGCGATGTTATCGAATATATTTGCCGTCTCTTTCGATTCTTCATGTTTCATAGAAGTCTTTATATAAAGGATCGAATGAGTATTTATTGGCTACGGAACTTTGTACAAGATGTTTCGCGAACAATTTACAAATACATTCGTAGGAAAAGATATAGTGCGTATCCGATTTCGCAGACGTAAAAATGTGTATTTCTCCTTCGTATTTGTCATGCAAATTCAATCTTTGCGTGCGCGCTAGAGAGAGAGAGTAATCGGCGTTATATTGTAATTGCAATGGCAAATCTTTGAAGCGCGTCGCTTTGAATATTCTCTCTCTCTCTTTCTCTCTCTCTCTCTCTCTCTCTCTCTCTCTCTCTCTCTCTACCACCAGTTGTAGAAATAATTACTGTTTTGTCGTTCTTTGCGTCGCGAACGTAGAAAGCCGAGGAAAGGAGGGACGATACGCGAATATGAATTTGCGCCAGATGGCATTTCCATTGTAAACGAGCGGTTCAAGGTCCTTCGGATTCGCTTGATAATCCTGACCCTCGTTAAGGGGGACGAGTAATTCTCCGGAATGCGATAATAATGCGCGCCTGTGCGCACATTATTTGTTATCGTTCGTTACCTACAGCAACGCGTCACGATAAAAACTGACAGATAAACGCTTTGTTTCTCCCAATTATCCGTAACCTCCACGACCTGCCGCGCACGACCACTACGTGAGTATATTCGTATATTCGTTGCTGTAAAGTAAGTCGAACCGGTCGGAGTCTTGGAGAGAAATTTTCATCGCTGCAGCAACCAGCGACACTAACTGGGGAACGACGTAACCGTCGTCCTTTCCTCAATTATTTAGCGCTCGATAAGTCTCGAGCGGTCGTCTCGTGTCGAAGGATTGGGAGGATTAACTTGTTCGTGGATACCGAAGGATGTATGTGCCTTTAACTTTCTGTACGTTTAACGTTAGTGTAACGTCTGCAAACTTTCAATCGCATTGCCAAAATTACATTCGAGTATTCCCAAAACTCGCGTCTCCCCAAAATTGTCAGATATTTGGACACATTTCACACGCACAAATTGCGACACGATTTTCTCGACTAGTTTTAGAATTTGAGTGGTCTTGGTTGCGTATACACTGCTTTTTTGTTTCGCGAAATCAAACGCTAAACTTTGACCCGTTCGTCGGATAGATACACGGTTAACAGAGACTTGTTCATATAGTCGCGTGCATACGTAAGAGGAAAAAAGAAAGAAAAGTCGCAGACGCGGCGTCGCGTTTGCATAATCGCGCGCGCAGTGCGTCGAACTGTCGGAATAATAAAAATGTCGACGAACCAACACGCGTCGTCGTCTTCGTCGTCGTCATCGGCGCCGCCGCCGCCGCCGCCGCCGCCGCCGCCGCCGCCGCCGCCGCCGCCGCGAAAAGAAACTCGATAGTAGGATAGTGGGTGCGAAAGAGTTTCCATCACCGTGTTCACGCGGCGGGAACACGAATCGTCGTCTTTCGTGTCGCAGCTGCGCGCGATCGCTCTGGTCGCGTTGCGTGCACGTTGTCTGCAACGAGAACGCACGCCGAAAGGAACATCTGCGATGACTTTTATGCAAACACGCAAACCGCCACCTTCTCTCCTCGCCGACGCTTGTCCGTAAACCGCGATACATTCACGTCGCTCGTAATAGCCGTACTCCTCACCCTGTCAGCGACATTCGACGGCGACATCTGCAATTATCGCGAAACGACTCGCTTTGCCGTCGTCGACGCGTTATACCTTAATTTTCGTGTACGATAATTATTTTCCCTCCGTTCTGTCGCGATCTGTACCTTGCGGATTCTCAAAGCCTCTCCTCCCTCTCAGATGTATCTCAACTTTACTCCTTCATTTCTGCCGACAAAGTAGAACGTTGAAAATATACATAGATCTATATTGAAAACAATCAACTCTCTGGATATTAATAATTTTTGCGAATGAAGCTGTGAATGAGCAAATTGGACAATCGAAATTTAAAGGCACAATTAAGGCGCGATCGTGAGTCGCGCAAGACGATATTAGGGTCGCTGTAAATTCATGAATTACAACGTCGAATTGGGAGTGTCTCCAAATTACATTACAACGATAGATCGTCTCGTTAACATTTTCCCCCGGTGGCTTCGCGAAACAGCTCCAAACACGAAAGTTGGAATCTCAAGGTAACTTATCCAATTAAAACTTATGTCGACTTTCTAATTTAACCGAGAGTTAGCGTGGCGAAACGACGAAAGTAACATTACGACGCGTAGGGTCTCGTCGAAATACTTATCCCATCGCAGGTTATCCGTCATGTACTCGAGTCCCTTTAACGTACTTGCCCGATAAAGACGCTCGATCCGCTCTGTAATCCGGCATGAGATTGACATAAAAAACAGACGGATACTTTTTTGCACGATCGAGTAATTTTTGCGAGAGAAACAAATATAGATATGATTTTGTAAAGTCAACAAATTTGATGCAATTTATTGATGCGTTGCTTCGTTTACATCGATAAAGTTGGGGATGAATCCCGTTCCAATTTCCGTGAGTCGAATCGAGCCATTTTCAATACCGCGAAGCTACCGCGGAACGCGAACGAGCGCATGCACGCTACGTCGATCGGGGTCTTACTTGCAGGCGTGAAACGTGCGCGGAGCTGCAAATGCAAGCCAATGTGCAGCGTCGTCGTCACGGGGTCCCCTCTTTCTCGCCCTTCCTCCTATCGTGCTATGGCACGCTGCACCGAGCTGCAGCAGATCCGATGCTCGCGTTGCGTCAGAGCCCCGTCAACCTTGGACTTGCTTGCCGCGGGCTCGCGAGGTTGGGACGACTACCCACCCGTAGTTCCTACAAGCGGAGGCCGTTCGTCCTCCTCGCTCCTCCTCGCTCCTCCTCGCTCCTTCTCGTGCTATATAGGCACTTTGCTCCAGTGGCGGCTAATTAACCCTTTAACCCAGTGCTGTTCATCCTTCTTCGTTCGGTACAACGTCTTCGATTAGCCAAAGAGAGAGAGAGAGAGAGAGAGAGAGAGAGAGAGAGAGAGAGAGAGAGAGACAAAATAACCCTCGGGCTAGAAGGGCCCCCTCTCTTGCATCGCCGCGCAGAGATGACTCTCCTTCTAACTGACAGTGACTCTGTATGTGGAAGAAAGAGTTGCCCGATTGACTTGGGTTGGGAGCAGCGGTGCACGCGCTTGGTGCCGTATGCTATAAAGGCGGCATGTGATATGCGGCCAGCGTGCACTGCAACACTGACAGTGGGAGTGTTTGCCACCCTTACTAGGGGGTAGTCGCCGAAGAATGCCTCTGTTTGGGCTGGGCCTCCCAATTCGGAAGCGACGCTTTGGGTAGGGGGCAGCTGGGAAAGTTAGTGTAACTCCCAACTGTAAATTAGTTAGGTTTGGCGCGATTAGCGTCTGCTGGAGGTCACCTGGAATGTCATACGCAAGCGGTTCTCCGGGTGATCTTGGGTGACAGCAGAGGTAGGGCACTCGAAGAGGTTTTAGTCGGTGTGAGTCCGACATAACCCTGGCCTTATCCCAGTAAGGTCGGGGTATGCATAATGCATTTCCTCCCCGTCAAAAAAAAAAAAAAAAAGGTTTCGCCAAGTATGAAGTTAGCTCTCCCAAAATTCAATGTTAAAAAACTTTTTTTCTAGAGGTGTGCAAACAAAAACTCGATTTGTTTCAAAATGTGCAAACGAAAATTTAACAATATCATGCGTCAGAAAAATTTTTTCTGTAATTTTAATCTAGGTTTCGCCAAGTGTGTGAAGTTAGGTCCCCCAAAATTCAATGTTAAATAACTTTTTTTCTAAAGGTGTACAAACGAAAACTCGACTTTTTTTTAAAATGTGCAAACAAAAATCTAACGATATTATACGTCAGACAATGTTTCCCTGCAATTTTAACCTAGGTTTCGCCAAGTGTGATGTTAGCCCCCCCAAAATTCAATGTTAAATAATTTTTTTTTCTAGAGGTGTGCAAACGAAAACTCGACATGTTTCGAAATGTGCAAACAAAAATCTAACGATATCATTCGTCAGAAAATTTTTTCGTGCAATTTTAACCTAGGTTTCGCCAAGCGTGAAGTTAGCCCCCCCCCCCAAATTCAATGTTAAATAATTTTTTTTCTAGAGGTGTGCGAACGAAAATTCGACATGTTTCGAAATGTGCAAACGAAGATCTAATGATATCATACATCAAACAATTTTATTTTGCAGTTATAAATTTCGGCAAGTGTAAGTTTGGCCTCCCCAAAGTTTAAAGTCAAATAATTTTTTTCCTAGAGGTGTGCAAACGAAAATTCGAGATGTTTCGAAAGGTGCAAACGAGAATCTATCGATTACATGCATTGTGATTCAAGTTTGAGCAACTTGGGGGGCTAGTGTGAAGTTAGCCCGCCCAAAATTGTTTTTTAAATTTCTTTTAAACTAAATGTGTGCAAACGGAAACTTTTGATGTGCAAACATATGCAAACGATGTGCAATCGTTTGAGCTAAAGAAAGTTTACTTTTTCGAATGTTGGGGGGCTAGTGTGAAGTTGGCCAAAATTGTGTGAAGTTGCTCCAAAATTGTTTTTTCAATAACTTTGAAACTAGAGGTATACAAACGAAAATTCTTGATGTGCAAACATGTTCAAACGATGAGCAAACGAATTAGGTGTAGAAATTGTATTTTTTCGAATATGGGGGAGCTAACTTCACGGGGCTGAATAACATAGCTGCCGTTAGTTTAATTCTCGCGCGAGTCCCTTTTAACACCATTAATATATAAAGAAGCATAGACGTTAGTTCGAAAAAGAGGAGGACATAGAAACCGAAGATCAGCACCTTCTCCATCTTTCGCAGAATCCAAGAATTCATGTTTGTGTATGGCCAGATTCCCATTAAACGAAAAATGATTCGGTTCAAATTATACGTATAATTTATGTCACGTTCGTAATTTTTATTTTTGTATTGTAATACATCACGAATATCTTTGATATAAGACTCTATATCGAAGTCCTCGCGTTCGCAAAGTATAAAAAGTAACGTGACTCGAGAACGACTGCTCCTTCTTCTCTTTGTCTAACCGCATCGAGCAGAACTTGTACGTGCGCGCGCTTGCGTTTTGGAACGATTGAAACGATATGCGGAATAAATCATTAACAATATATACGTAGCAACTTTAACGGAAATTTCACAAGCCAGTCTATTTTAGTATTACAGAAGAAGAATAAAGTTCTTCTTGCTACATTTCAAACATTGAACAAGTTGAAGTTTTACGAGGAAGGTTTTTTATTGATACCGCACCGATATCAAACGACCATTGACTTTGAGCAGGATGTCGACCCTACAAACGCGATTTATATGTACGTTAAGGCGATGCTGCTAGGCTCGTTTTCGTAGAATATTCTTTTCTTCTAATTGCATGAATAAAACTGCAAATGCTTTTACATCGCAAAAGTATAAGCGATAATGAATGCCGCATACTAAAAAGTTGCATCGAAATCAACAAAAAAATTTTGTATTTACTATTGAAAATGCGATATTTAGTTTCATGTGACAAATTTAGAGCTCATACGCTTCAAATACATAGTATGCAGCATAGAGAGGACTTTCAGGAACATTATGAAGACATCGTAAGTGAATTTTAATAGGTAGTTTAAATAAAAAGAGAATTCCAGTAATAAGCGATATGTGTGCTAGCGTTTAATGGTTACGTGGTAAAGAAGACTAGATTTTTAGTTCACGCATCTCCTGGAAGAAAGCGCTGCATCTTGAGCTAGCTATATATATATCTATACGGAACGAAGACAATCGTCAAAATGTCAAATTTGATAAGCGTGAACATGTTCGCGCTACCGTTGCACCGCAATATTTTTTCATATATCGTCCCTTCACAGATGTTATGCAAGTATGTGTGCTACGTTGTCATTTCAATTTTCTTACACATAAACGGTACGTAAATGTGAATATCACGTTGCCGATATTCGCATTCTCTCCAAGAGAGCCTTTCGCTGCTTTTCTGACGAATTCTTCAAACCGCTTATGTACTGCACTGAAGAGAAAAAAGAAAAAAATAGTTGGAATAACTATAATCTCACTGTATTTTATAGTTCGTTTTGGTCTCAAACATATATTTATAGTTCATCTAAACATGAAGATATAGTAGAATGAACACAGATTTACTCACTTCACAGTCACTATCTTATTATTCTATATATATGGTAAAGCACCTTTTGGGAATATAGTTACATGTATTTATATTTGCCAAATATTCCAATTGTACTATATAAAATAGTTAATTTCTCTTACCATTCAATATTTGCCATCTTACTATATTTTTATTTCAAATAATTATAATTTTTGGTACAAATTTTACACAGGTCAGTTATACAATGTTTATATTGTAAATATTACAAATATTATGGTAACGTTTATCATAAAAATTATATTCCTAACTATAATCTTTTTACTATGCCGTTATAGTCTCAAATATCATACATTTTCTTTCAGTGTAGGTGCATCAAAGAAAGAGTTTTTTCGAGAAATATGTTATACGCATTAGAGTAATTTACGAATAATGTTTTAAAGAATATGTTATATAATATGTGAGCTTTCTATATAATTTTCAATGGAAATTAAAATTCAATATTTCACTATATATTCGTACCTAATTTTATCATATAAATTGGTGCAGTAATTGCGCTGTAATTTTTGCAAAAGGAAATCAGTGTTACGATAGTAATAGTTCTACATCGTTTTCATCCCTGAGTAAAGAATGCTCTATTTAATTATTGCATGTACTTTCACTACAAAAGCATTTTTAATTCGGTCAAGTCAATACGCATGTAGAAAGAACTAATCTTTGTAGAAAGATTCAGTATCATGATAGTAAATATCCTTTATCGTTTTTCTCTCATAATGAGGAATGTCCCGCTTCATTTTCGCACGTATTTTCACTATGCAATGTAATATTTGTAGGAAAATGTTGACGCGTGATACCGACCCCCTTTGCAAAACTTTCGTCGTACGTCGTACAGATTAGTTCTTTCCACATGCGCCGAGTTATAAACCCTTTTGCATGATAAAAATACGTACGAAAATAAAGCGGAGCATTTCTCAATATAAGGCGAAAACGATAAGGAACATTTACTATCGTGATACCGAATTCTTTTGCAAAGATTACTTCTTTCTACATGCGCCGAAAACACTATTGCATGGTGAAAGTACGTGCGAAAATGAAGCGGGACATTCCTTAATATGAGAGGAAAACGATAACGGACAGTTGCTATCATGACACTAAATCTTTCTGCAAAGATTAGTTCTTTCCACATGCGGCAAATTATAAACCATTTTGCATGGTAAAACGACGTGCGAAAATAAAGCGGAGCATTCGTCATTATGAGACGAAAACAATAAGAAAAAATTTATTAAAAATTTTCAATCTATGATATATCTATAATATATTTATAATTATCTGTACGGAACGAACACAATCGTCAAAATGTTACATTTGATAAGTAACATATTCACGCTATCGTTGCGCCGCATTATTTTTTCATTTATCGTCCCTTCACAGATGCTATGCAAGTGTGTGCTACGTTGTTATTTCAATTTTCTTACACATAGATGGTACGTAAAAGTAAATGTCATGTTGCCGATATTCGCATTCTCTCCAAAAGGCTTTTGCTATTTTTATGATGAATTCTTCTAACAGCTTATGTACTGAGTGTATCAGTGTTTTTTCGGAAAGTGTGTTATACGCATTAGAGTAATTTGCGAATATTGTTTTGAATGTATGTTATCTAGTACATGAACTTTCTATATAAATTTCAATGAAAATTTGAGATATTATTTTCGTTACTCACTGACAAGGAGATGATGTCAACTGCAAAATCGATTTTTAACGAGATATAACGCCCTCAATAAACGTAATAAAGAGTATGAATATTCTAAAAGGGTTTAGGTGAATGGGCCTTCGTTTCCTAAATATTGCGATGCGAAGTAAAAGTCATGAAGCCATGCCTCATATAAGACACAATGTGGCATTCATTTCCACCGAAGCGGCGTAGCTAAGAGGATTAAAGCTGGTGGCATATAGAAAAACTTAAGCAGTAAGCGAATTAGCCAATCACAGTCGTTGATTCTTGGACTGTAAGAAGAATCAACGACTATGATTGGTCAATTTGCTTACTGCTTACGTCTTACTGCTTAAGTTTTTTTGTATGTAGGGCTGAGGCCCTAAGGCTCTTGCGCCGGTACTTCCTGCACCAGCAGCGAGTGTTCGAGTCCGGCTAACGAAGCGACATTCAATGTTTTTTTGTGTTTCGTACTGTCGGACATATATGTATACCTATAATGTATATATATATATATATATATATATATATATATATATATATATATTGTATTTCTGTGTCGATGTAATTGCTATGTGAGCATTTGGAGTAGTGTCACGTTGCGGTAAAGGAAAATAATGTAAAAACATACTTTTTACAATCATTGTACAGATTGTAGACATTTTGAACGTTTTGCACTGTGCGTAACATGAAAACAATATGTATAATTGGAACAAGGTAGTCGTACATGAGCAGGGAAGTATC